GCTCAGCGGTTAAGAGCACTGACTGCTCTTGCAGAGGGCCTGGGTTTGATTCCCAGCACCCACAGGTGGCTAACAACCATTGGTAACTCTAGTTCTGGGGGAATCTGATGCCGTCTTCTGATCTCCATGGGCATTGCATGACATGGGTTCACTTACACACAGGCAGGCAATACACTCATATACATAAAATAAAAATATTTTTTTTTAAAAAAAAGAATGGAGTCTGAAGGCTAGGGAGCTTGGAACTCTATTTTTTTTTTTTAAGACAAGATCTGGAGGGCTGAAGAGATGGCTCAATGGTTAAGAACACTGGCTGTTCTTACAGAAGACCTGGGTTTGAATCTCAGCATCCACATGGTACCTAACAACCATCTGTAACTCCAGTTCCAGGGGATGTGACACCTTATTCTGTCCTCTGTGGGCACTGCATGGCATGGGTGTATTTACACACATGCAGACATAGCACTTATACACATAAGAATAAATAAATCAAAAAAAGAAAAGATCTTGATATAGTCAAGACTCGCCTTGAGCGCCTGCTTTTCTCTACTTCCAGAGTACAGAGGTTACAGACAACCATCATCACACAGGCTCAGTTTGGAGTTCTGATGTCCAAGGCAGCAGAACAAAACTGTCCCAGCCCTTAGAGAGGCCAATTGCTTCATTTGTCTGTTTTCTGAGCCTCTAGCCTATTGGGTGATGCTACCTGTATTGAGGGCTGATATAGCCCTCTAAGTCCAGTTGATCTCATATGCTGATCTCTGGAAACATCCTCACAGAGATACTTAGAAATAATGTATAAATAGAAGTCTAGGTAGTCCTACCTAACTATGCTGTGTACAATATAAATGTACACACCTAGCTGGGTGTGGTGGCCCACGCTTTTAATTTTAGCACTGGGAAGGCAGAGGCAGGTTGATTTCTGTGAGTTTAAGGCTAGCCTGGTCAACGTAACAAGTTCCAGGTCAGCTGGGGCTACAGGGAGACCCTGTATCAAAATAAAACAAAAAAGTATGCACACCTATAGACCCAGCTACTTGGTATGCAGGAGTATCAGACCCTGAATCCTTCCTGTTCAAGGCCAGCCTGGGTAATAAAGTGAGATAGTGATCTCTCTCTCTCTCTCTCTCTCTCTCTCTCTCTATTGTTTTTGGCACCATACTCACTTTGTAGACCAGACTAGCTTTAGGCATGGTGATCTCCTATCTCAGCCTCCCGAGTGCTGGGATTGCAGGAGTGAGCCACCACGCATAGTACTATGTATTGTTTTGTGGAGACAGGTTCTCAGTGTGCCAACCAGGCTGGCTGAGTTCTGGGACAGATTTTTAGTAGCCAAGATTTAATCTTTCAGGGTTGTGATTTTCAGGATTTTTGTTGCTGCTGTTCTTACAATGCTGGGGACTGAACTTAGGGCCTCATGCATACTAGAAAAGCATTCTATTGCTGAACTGCATCCCCAGCTTTATCTTGTGGGATTTCAGCAACCAAGACAAGGTCACGCTTGTATCTTTCAGATACCAGGCACACAGAATCATGCAGTTTCATGTCCATGCATTAAAATCCTTCGGGCTTTTACATTATCTGTAAAGCTTTTTTTCTTTAAAATATTTTATTATTTTTAGCCCATTGTGGTGGTGAATGCCTTTAATCCCAGCACTCAGGAGTCAGGCCAACCTGGTCTACACTGTAAGTTCCAGGCCAGCTGGAGAAACATGGGACACCCTGTTTCAAAAAGACAAAAAAAAAATTATTACTTTTATGTGTATGAGTGTATTGCCTGTATGTGTGTAAATGCACTTGTGTCATGAAAAGTCTGTGGAGGTCAGAAGAGGAAGTCAGAGTCCCCTGAGCTGGAGTTAGGAATGGTTGTTAGCCACCATGTGGGTGCTGGGAATTGAACCCGGGTCCTCTGCAAGAGCAGCCGGTGCTCTTAACCACTGAGCCACCTCTCCAGTCCACATTATCTGTAAAAATTTTATTAACTTATTGAGATGCAGTCTCATGCTATAGCCCACTGGCCTACAACTTGAAAATCTAGCCCAGGCTGGCTGACATGTAGCAGAACGTGCACAAAATAAGTGTGCATTAAACAAATGACCTATAAAGGCCCCAATCTGCCAGGCATGGGCACCACTGAGCATCTGACCTTTCTCCCAGCTATAGCCTACTTCCTCCCTTGGAAGTACTTTCTTTCTTAATGAACTGTTGCTGCTTCTAACACTATTTGTTATGGGGCACAAGAACCTGAAGACTCCAACAGGCAGCCACTGGACTCTGCTATCTACTGAGAACAGATACAGGTGTATACTACCACACAGGGCTCTCCTACACTTTGTTCTCCCCTCCCTTACCTATCTTGCATAGGTCCATATAAGTTTCTCTTTAAAATTCTATTATTTGCCAGGCTTGGTGGTGCACAGCTTTAACCCCTGCACTTGGGAGGCTGAGGCAGGCAGATCTTTGTGAGTTTGAGGCCAGCCTGGTTTATATAGTGAGTTCCAGG